ACAAAAGCTCCTTGGGCTTGGCTGATAAGACAATGAAGCACCTTTTTAATCCTCAAAGATAAGACCTTAGCCACAATCTTGTATACACTAGTCACCAAACTAATAGGTCGAAAGTCCTTTGGATGCTTGGCCTCTTTCTTCTTGGGAATTAAGGCTAAAAAAGTAGCATTAACTCCACGACTAATCACTGAATTATTCTCGAATTCCTTGAAGACCTCAATCAAGTCTTCCTTGATTATGTCCCAACAATCTTGAAAGAAAGCCATTGTGAAACCGTCCGGCCCTGGTGCTTTATATCTGTTTATGGAGAAGACAGTTTTTCTTATTTGTTCCTCTTCAAAATTCCTTTCTAGCCAGCTTCTACTCTCTTCTGGAAGCCTCTGCCATGTCACACCTTCCAACTCCACACTAGGACCTAGGGGCTTCCTTAATATGGATTTGAAATGGTCAACAAAACAATTGGCTATCCTCTCTTGGGAATCAAGGACTAGTCCATCCACTTCCAGTTTGGACACTAGGTTTTTCCTTCTCCTTCCATTGGCTAGTTCATGAAAAAATTTAGTGTTCCCATCTCCTTYCTTRAGCYACCTRCATCTAGACTTCTGTCTCCAAGAAATTTCTTCTCTCAAAATGACTTCGTCTAACTCTCTTTTTAGTTTCCATCTCCGATCTCTATCTTGAAAGTTTATGACTCTTTGAGATTCCTTCGCATCTAATTCCTCGTGTCAAACTTAAATTTTTAGTGTGAAGTCTATCATTTGTCAAAGCAATGTAGAACCACATATTTTGCAAGTAATAGAAGTTGCCTTTTATTTGATTCATATTGATGTCTAGAGCCTATATACCACTCCTTGCATGGGTGGATACAAGTATTTCCTTCTTTTCATTTATGACTATTCTCAATACACGCGGTTGTATTTGATGAAGAATAAAGATGAAATACCTAAAATTGTTCAAAATTTTCTGAATATGGTGGAGACACAGTTTGATAAAAGAGCTAAGGAGAACATTGAAAAACATATATGGGTGTTCCTTGAAGAGAAGGAAACTATTCATCAAAGCTTATGAATCGGCTTTTGAAAAACATTTATGGTGCAAGGACTATTGTTCCAAAAGCATATTCATACTCACTTTTGGGGAGAAGATGTTGTGACAACAGTGCATCTTATCAATCGGCTTCCATCAAGAACACCCAATCTCCAATCTCCTCGCTAACTACTTTTCTCTAATGAACCAATGCTTAATTTACCCCTCAAGGTCTTTTGGCTATACCTGCTTTGTCCATGATATGAGTCCTTCTAGACATAAGTTTGATCTTAAGTCCATCAAGTGTATCTTCCTTAATTATTCTCTTATTGTAAGGGATATAAATGCTTCAATCCCCATTATAGAAGAAGATATTGTTGTGCAAAACCTAGAAACACAGATTCAAATGGCAACCAAAAACAAAAGAAAAATAGAGAGAAAGAGAAGTAGAGAGAAAGAGAGAGAACACAGATTTACGTGATTCGGCTTATAGACTATGTCCACGAGTGAAGGAGGAGCAGAAATCCATTATGAAATCAACAATGGTGAAGAGTACAGAGTTGTGCACACACAACCTCACTCACAGGAAAAACCCTAGACTCCAAATACACCCAAAACATTTGACTTATCTCTCAATCTAGAGACTAGTATATAAGAGAAAAAACCCAAATACATAACTCTTTGTATTCGGGTCAGACCCATAAGCTGAATGTGGATCGGGTCCATACTACGCTTCCACCCCAAACCACTATGAAATTTTGCCTTCGGGCTTTTCTCAATTTAATTCAAAGCAGGGTCATGAAGTGGGTCGCAACAAAGAATTCAAGGAACAAACATAACAGATATGTATCTAAGGATGTCATTTCCTCCTTGAATCTTTGTCTTTCATCCAACCATCTCGTCCTTCTCTTCAGGGGTGAGTATTAGTGAAGATCAGACTCCCTTTTGCTTTCCTATTCCTGTCTTAGTCTCTACTATTCATCTACTTCTCCTACATGTAGTGGCAATATTCCTTTTCCTCCTCCTCTTCCTGCGTATCGGCCTCAATCTTGGCAACAATTTTTTTATCAAGCGCAGTCAAAGGGCAACTCTTGATGTTGAGTGTCCACCACAATTTAAACTCCCGAATTTAGGTAATCTTGAACCTAACTCCTCCATTATTGAACCCAATGTCTTAAATTTTAATCTTGATATCCCCTATTGCCATCCATAAAGGAAAATGGAAATGCACCACCAATTACCCCATTACTAACAATGTTTCCTATGGTGCTCTCTCACCCTCCTATTGTGCCTATATTTCTACTATTTCTTTTGTTCCCATTCCTCATAATGTTGCAAAGGCAATGCAGTGATCTCAATGGAAAGAGGCTATGAACCAAGAAATGGAAGCTCTCAAAGAGAACCAAACTTGGGAGATTGTTTCCCTTCCCAAGGACAATATTCCTATTGGGTGCAAGTGGGTGTCGTTAAACACAAGGTTGATGGTTCAATTGAGAGATATAAGGCTCGTTTGGTGACCAAGGTATATACTCAAACTTATGGCCTAGTCTATCAGGAGATATTTGCTCTTATTGCTAAAATGAATTCTATCCAGTAATTATGTCTCTAACCACCCACTACTCTTTGCCTCTATATCAAATGGATGTGAAGAATGCCTTCCTTAATGGAGACCCACAAGAAGAAGTTTATATGGAATTGCCTCTAGGGGTGAACTTCCCTAATAGTGAAGGGAAAGTTTGTCGTTTAAAGAAGGTTCTGTATGGATTCAAACAGTCTCCTAGATCCTAGTTTGCAAATTTAAAAGCGTTGTTTTGAAGATAGGTTTTTCACAACCTTAGGTTAATCAAGCTCTATTTATAAGAAGAGTAAATGGATGTGTGACTATGTTGATGATATTGTTGTTAATGGGGATGACATTTCCGGAATCGTTTAGTTGAAATCCTTCATTGCTTTTGAATTTGAAATTAAGGATCTTGGTAATCTCAAATATTTTCTTGGTAGTGAAGTTTCAAGATCAAAGAAAGGGATTTTCATTTCTCAGTGAAAATATGTTCTGGACTTACTCCACGAGGTTGGGAAATTGGGGTGCAAGCCTAATGAGACCCCAATTGATCCTAAGCATAAGTTGACTGCCATTGATGGAGATGTTCTCCCAGACAAAGGGGTCTATCAAAGATTGGTTGGTCGGCTCTTGTACCTCTACTTGACTAGACTTGACATATCCTATGTAGCTGGCATGGTAAGCCAATATATACATGAGCCAAGGACTTCTCACATGCAAGCTATCAACGGAATCTTGTATTTTTAAAGGGATGCCCTAGCAAAGGGATGTTGTACACTGATAATGGACATCCAAAGGTTAAGGCTTATACAAATGTTGACTAGGCAAGATCTGTTGATGATAGGAGATCTACCTCTAGCTATTGTACTTTAGTGGGAAGCAATGTGGTTTCATAGAGAAGCAAGAAACAATCAATTGTTGCTTGTTCTAGTGCAACGGCAAAATACAGGGCAATGACTCATGGTGTGTCTGAGTTGCTTTGGTCAAAGTCCTTACTAACAAAGATGGGAATTCAAGCAGATAATTCAATGAGACTCTATTGTGACGAGCAAGCAACTATAGACATTGTTCATAACCTTGTGCAACATGACCACACAAAGCATATTGAAGTAGACGAACATTTCATCAAAGAGAAGGTAGCCAGTGCAAAGATTTGGCTACCCTTCGTGAGATCAAAAGACCAACTTGCTAATTATCTCACCAAGGGAGATCACAAGCCAAAGTTTGATAGTAATTTAGGCAAGTTGGGAAAGATCCAAATAAGGGCTCTATTGTAATCTGTTCTCGTATTACAAATATTATGTTTCAGGGGTGTGAACAGTAACTAAGACACCACATTTGAACAAACCCTTTCTCTTCTTCTTCTTCTCCTCCTCCTCCTTCACCTTCCCCTAATCTAACAACTGACTGTGGTCAAATTAGGAAAGTATAGAGAAACCTAATTCAGTGGCAAAAAACTAGCATTTGCACTAGGATTGCTTTTGTTGAATTCAGAAGTGAAATTTCAGAGGTTCACTTATGAATGTAGGCAAAAACAACATTGAGTCTAGTGCATTCTCATGTGTGAATGCAATAATGTTTCCTTGGTTCGTAGCACTTCAGGTTGTTCATAAACATTGATAGATTGATTCTGGATAGACATAGACAAGATATTCCAAGTTTTAGGCATCCTCCTGCCAACAATTCATTATTAGCATTCAGATACAGAGAACACTTAACGAATGGCTGAAATCACTTTCCTATGACCTATGGAGTAGATTTCTCTCGTTGACAGACCACAACAGGCACTACACCTGTGCATCATTTTATTCAAGAACTTTAGTTCCGGCTTTTCAGATTTAGGACATAGTGGAGGCTGCATTATTAAACCACTAGGAGAAATTTCGATGATCATGATTCATCGAAAAGCTCCAGAAATCCATTACTGTGGCATGAAATTCGATGACCATAATTCATAAACCAGATTAGCTCACTACCATGATCCCGAGACTTTCAAAGCAAGAAAAAACACAAGCTGGAAATAACAAAAGTAAAGCATGGCTATAACACCATCATCTCAAAATGGTAGAATTAATAATTTTCCCAAAAAACTGCAGCAACTACAATTGAAGATCCTAAAAAGCAAAACACCTCTTCTGCCATTTCTTTTTTCTTTTTCAGCATACAATTAGGAAAATATTGTTAGATTGAATATTTTTACAATTAAACTCTAAGAAACCTCGCATGAACAACCTTAATTTTTTATCTAAAGAGTGAAAAAACGTTTCTAAGGAGAAACCCGAAAAAGAAGTTCTTGAGAAAACCCAACGAGCTTAGAACGCTGAAGGTTTTTATATTAAAAGAAGGTAAAAAGAAAAAAAAAAAAAAAAAGACAGTGCAGAAGTCACTAAGAATCAGGGGAGATACAACTCACCAAGAGATCCAGGAATAGTGCCAGAATCATGCAGAGAACCAATGAATCTGAAACTAATCCATGAAGCTTAAATCGCATGGGCATTGATAATGAATGAATGAACGTCTCAAGAAGAGTACGACACAACTAGGGACTGTTTGATAACAGTTGAAATGAATGACTCATTTGCTTTGGCTTTTTATGAATGAGTCATGACTCATGAAGGTTGTGACTTAGAGTCACAACTGATACAGACGCTTTTTCAGGAGTTCCTGATGTAAGCGCATATCAGTGTTTTGCTGCTAAAAATTGTGATTGTGAACCTTCTAACAAGAGTGATGTGAAACTAAAATTACTAAACGGATAAAGTATATGTTTGGCATGGCTTCCGTTAATAAACGTTTGTTCTTGGTTTGTTTTTAAAACCAAGAAAAAGTGGTTGATAAATATTTTTTTGGGATTTATTCACAATTAGGCACTTAATATAACCGGGGGAAAGTGTTAAAATTAAGCTTTCTCCAATAGTTGACATGCACATAAATCAAGACCAACTTTTATCAATATTTATATGTATGAATCACTATAATGGGACAAATGCTGAATTTGCAATGACATGGTGCCATTTATCAAATAAATGGAAAGCATACCAAATACAGCCTTAAATTACCAATTTGTAATTCTAGGGCTCACAACAAAAAATATCAAAATGATGTAAAAAATCATTCTAAAACACAAATTGATGAACCAAGGTATTTTCAAGAGGAATTTTGGTGAAAGAAAGTTGATAGAAATATGTGAGAGTTAGGATTTTAGAAAAAATAACCCAAAATTGAAAAACAGTAAAATGGTTATCAAAAAAGGTAAATTGCTAAAACCCCCCTGAAAGTTGATAATTGCAGTCACCTACCCTAAACTCTTTGACATAGTTGCAAGTAGATCCTGTTTGTTGGAATACTATAAAAAAGGCATGAAAATGTCCAATAATGTTTATTTTCCCATTTTTCTCTTTATGTGAATTGCTAGCCCAAACCCTTCCAATCTTTTTTTTAATTTATTTATTTTCCAAATTTTCCCTTTATATCAATCGTCCAAGTGTAAAGTTTCATCTTTAAATTCTCTATTTTTTGTTGTTTATAAAGTTTGTATTGTTTTTTTTTTTTGTAGAAACTTGCTTAAATAGTAATTGCATGGGTATTTTGGACACTTTCATGTCTCTTATTTAAGGATTCTAACAAAGGGGGTATAATTGCAACTGTATCAGAAAATTCATGGGAGATGATTTCAATAACCAAACATCAAGAGAGGTTTCAGCAACGGTCAAAAACTTTAGGGGAGGTTTTAGCAATTTACCCTTAAAAATAAGGGTAATTTGGGGTTTATAAGTGTTTAAAAAATATTTCATGATTTTAATTGGTAATATGTTAATGGTGGGGGCAAAGTATTGGAATCCAATGGTTCAAAGGGGTCCTCATTTCAAAACAAAGAGTTTACATTGGCACCCCACATACACATCTCTTGTACTTATCATTTGGAGATGTTCCCAATATATGGTTGGGATGTGTTGTAGAGGCGCATGCTTTGTGGGGTGTCGATGAAAATTCCAAAACAAAGTTTGGGGGCCAAGTGTCACTACCCCCAAAGTAATGGCTCTATGAGCATGGGTCTAGTCAATTGAGTTCCAAGGCAAAACTCAAAACCTACCTTATGAAGGTCAATTTTGACCTGGGCAGCTCTAAGGTTGATTCTAGAGTCTACTCATAAAACTTATTCTTTCTTTATCCAAAACAAATGGAACATGTTCATTATAATAATAATAATAGCTCAAAGCTTATATTATCTTTATTGATTTGAATAATTTAATATATAAATTATCATAATATATTAATATATGGTTCAAAATTTATTATTATAACCTAAAGTTTGTAAATATTATCTTTTATGTTTCTTTTTGAAGCCTAAAGCTAATCTTAATTGAAAATGCTCAAATTACTAGAACAATAAAAACTCAACAACACATACCAACAAACTAAACACACACACACCAACTAGAAAAAACCAGCAGATTTAAGTATTTAACAACACTAAGGCTCAGTTTGGAAGGAGTATAAATGCAAATATGTACAGCGTAAATACATACAAAATAATACAAAATATAAGGTTTTGCACTCTACATATTTGCATTTGTACTCCTTCCAAACTCAGCCTAAGAAAATAGAAACAAACGAGATAAACTAAGCACCAAAAGTGTCATCGAGCAAGGCCTCTACAAGCATCATCAAAGAGTTAAACAAACACCATGGAACAAAGGTCAAAAACCTCCAACATAGATCGCATAGCCAAAGAAGATTCCATAGCAATGCAAGACCAAACATAGATCCTAGAAAAAAACTACTAAAACAAACACAAATTAAAAAAAACACGTAAACAAACAAATGACACTTAGGCTTAGTTTGGAAAGAGTACAAGTACAAACATGTACAGTCAGTGGCAAAGCCAAGAATTTTCTCTTGGAGGGGCAAAGTTAAACAAAAAAATAAGATAAGGAGTAGAAGAGGTAGGGTGTGTAGGGAAATGGGGTGAAAAAATATAGGTCTATTATAGAATTTTTTAAAGAAAAAATAAACAAAACTTTTCAATTTTGGGAGTTGGAGGAGCATTAGAGAGTGATCTTCAAATTTGTGTGTGTGCGTGTGTGGGGAGGGGAAGGACCCACACCCACCCACTTGGTTACATTTTTTACCTTGTCTCTACTTACTAACTATAAGCAAAAAGTTTGGGAGGCCAAGAACCACCACCACCAATATATTTGGCTCTGCCACTATATAGAGTACAGATATGTAGAAAATAATACAAAATACAAGGTTTTGCGATCTACATATTTGCATTTGTGTTCTTTCTAAACTGAGCCTTAATCAATAGACCCCACCATTCCATAAAACTATTGAATCCAATAAAGACCCCAAGATAGAAGGGCCCTGAAATAGTGCTTACTCTCTAGAATATGTGCTCCAATTAAAATTACTAAAGACTTATCAAAAATTAAATCCAAGGAAACCACATCAAAGTCATTTGTCAAGATGGCGAGAAGATCAACATCAATCACACAAGGTTGACCATTCTACCCATAAAAAGCCATTATTTAAAGGGGCAATTTTGACCCATCCAAGTGTTGGCAACTTTCCCCCAAGTGGGAAAGTTAGATGGGTATCACTTAAACTCTTATAAATGATACCCAAGGGAAATAAAATTTACATAAACCCCACATAAATTAAAAAAAAAAAAAGCATGTGTTTCTTGGTCAGTGGGAACCAAAATCCTATTAACCAACTTTCCTCCATCTCAAAATAAAAAAGAAAAAAAAAATGAACCCCAAATGTTGTGACGCTGGGGGTGGTCACTGTAAAAATGCAACATTTCCGATGCCAATTCACACAATGAAAACCCTCATGTTCACCATTGTAGTGATATTCCTTACAAATCAAAAAGTTTTTTCAAAGATGCCACCATATTTGTTGCCAACAAGGCCTAAAATGACAAACAATAAGTTCTATAGCAACCATGGAAAAGAAGTATTTCGAACAAATAGTGGTGTAGCCAAGAATTTTTTCTACTGGATCATACAATAACTTAGAAAATGACACTACTTGCAGAGGGAAAACACAATTTGGGGTTTTCTCTTTTCCCTGCATTCTTTTACTTGTATTTTAGTTGCTATGTAACGATCAAAATACCATTTATTCCTTACATTCCTTTAGCATTTTAAAATGCTGAAAAGTATTATTATTATTATTTTTTTTTACATTTTCAACTACCTAAGTCATAACTCAATTAGTCTAAAAAATCAGTTAGTCTAATAGTCTAAATAAAATTTCCAAATTAACCCCACCCTCTTATATTTTTAATTTAACCTTACTGGGTTAACATGGAAAAATAGACTGAAATGATACATATAGTTACATGATTTTTGTTAACTTTAGTGGCTCCCCTGAAATACATGTAGCTTTGCCCACACCAATGAACAACAATGGCTGATGTGGAGAGTCAGATATGGAAATGACTTGGACAGAGAAGACATCCATTCCACTATTAGGTGATGTTTAGCATCGACGATGGTTTCTCTTTACCGATTTTTTTAAAAAACATCAAAAATTGTTGTTTGGTATCATTTATGTCATTTAAGTAGTTTGTTTGGTACTGATTCTTAAGAGTGATTATTTTTCCTTTGAATCATCATTTTCTTGGAGACATGTCAGATGCCATGTCATCCTCCAAAAATTGGAATGGCAAAAAATGGTGCTCTCTCAATATAGGCCGATTTTAGGAATTATTTTTCCATCAATTTTCTAAAAATCACAAAAATTTACCGACCAAACATATAGAAAATCACTGATTTTTCTTTATCCCATGTGGCTATGATGTGGTGCCATTTTTTTAGAAATCAGCATTGATGTCAAACATCACCTTAGTGAAAATTGGACAGCAATGAAAACTCCGCGCCCTGGGCCTGCAACCATCCCCCTAACAGCCCAACAATAGTTGGGCCCAACACATACTGTAGTAGAGAAAAAACTCCAAAAATATTGGCCTCAGTCAAGAAAGATATATTCACTCCAACTTTCTTTTCAAAACTATTTCCTACCTAAGATTGAAAACAAGAAAAAGAAGATAAGACTCACATAGGAAGATGTGAGAGGAAAATTCGTATATGCGAGAGGGAACCTTGCATGCAGAAATCAAATACATACTGAAATATTAAAATGAAAAAGAAAATCAAATAACTTTTAAGTGACTCAACGGTCAAGTGAAATCATGGACTTTGGAGTGCTACCTCTCTCCCTCTCTTCCTCTTTGAGGGGGTAGGGGGAAGTTATCTCTCGCATCTCTGTGTGTGAGTGCTACCCTCAGATCTCTGGGGTTTATGTTAATGCTCAAAAAGCATTCATGGAGTCTTCTTTCGATCGTGATGATTGAGACACACTAATGGTAAGGAAATTTTTGGACTGCCAATCTAGAAGATGAAGGGCTCATTTGGCATGTCTTTTTTGGGAAAATTTTGTGATAGCTCTGACATACAAAAAACACATTGAGCTTCTGTATGAATATCTAAGCAATTCGAATCATGTTTAGCAGATACATGTCTTTTTGTGCGAGATTAAGATGCAAAAAACGTTAAAAGTTTCATTTGGAGCTTCTCGAAATCAGCCTAAAATAGACTTTTTGCATCTTTTCAACATTCCATCTTTTGGCGACTAGATTTTTCTCATACTAAACGGAAATAGATCGAAAATCAGTCTTTACGACTTGTAAACAGCCAAAA